GCATTTCACCTGGATGTTTGAATCCCCAGATTACAATAAAAATGATAGCTGAGAACTCAGGAAATATAGGCAATGAATAACGTTTTAATTTTCCTGAGTCTAATTATTTAACTTGTCTTTTGATGTTTTGTCTGTACATTCATTTATTCACTTAAAAAAAAAAATACTTCATAGATAGGGCCCGGCATGGTGACCCTGCACCCACATGGGAGACTCAGAACAACCTCCTGGCTTCTGGCTTTAGATCAGCTCAGCTCTGGCCATTGCAGCCATTTGGGGAGTGAATCAGTAGAGAGAAGATCTATCTCTCTGTCTCTGCTTCTCTTTGTAGATCTACTTTTCCAAAAAACCAAACCAAACCAAACCAAACCAAACCAAACCAAACCAAACCAAACCAAACCAAAACAAACAAAAACAAAACAAAACAAGCAAAAAAACACTGTGCAAAAAATTTTTTTAACATGATGCAAAATTGGGGCCCCAGTGCAGTAGCCAGTGGCTAAAATCCTTGCCTTGAACACACTAGGATTCCATATAGGCACTGGCTCTACTCCTGGAAGCCCTGCTTCCCATCCAGCTAACTCCCTGCTGTCCTGGGGGTTAAGGACATACATGCATATAGTATACTTCAACTGTTGTGCTAGGTGCTGTGAATTCATTGATGAAATATTGCCTTGGCCCTGGTGCGATAGCGTAATTGTTAAGGTCCTTGCCTTGAACATGCTGGGATCCCATATGAGCGCTGGTGAGTGCCAGTTCTAATCCCGGCAGCTCCACTTCCCATCCAGCTCCCCGCTTGTGGCCTGGGAAAGCAGTTTAGGATGCCCCAAAGCCTTGGGACCCTGCACCCGTGTGGGAGACCCACAAGAAGTTCCTGACTCCTGGCTTCGGACTGGCGCAGCACCGGCCGTTGTGGCCACTTGGGGTGTGAATCATTGGACAAAAGATCTTCCTCTCTGTTTCTCTCCTCCTCTCTGTACATCTGCCTTTCCAATAAAAATAAATAAATCTTAAGAAAAAAAAAAAGACTTACTCCCTTGATCTTTATGAATCCATCAGTATAAAAGGAGACAAATGTGGAGATAATACAGTACACTGAGTGAAATGACAGCAGTAAGGCTTAGTGGTAACAGCAAAGAATGGTTAACACTGTTACATCTACTTAGCCAATGGTAAAACAAATAACCTAAATTTTGCCTAAGACTTGACATTTTCTATTTCCCTAAGATTTTTTTTCCTAGTTCTCATATGCTTTGCTTTGGATGTTTGATATAAGAAAGATTTGCATGAAAATCTCATTTTCAAGTGCCTCTATTTTTTTTCAATATTATAACTACATTGATTGAGTTCTCATCCACCTTGACTGTAGATTTTTGAAAGTGGTGACAGGTACTAAAATATCGAGCTCGTCTGGTGAATCTTCATCCTCAGTGCATCTTTCCAGGTCCAATAACAAAACAATATTCATCACCTAGGAGTCTGAAGAGTAGACAGCAGGAAGGAATTAGATGGGTTAGCTTTCCTGAGGAAGATGAACGGTACAGGAGAGGGAGCCAGAGAAGCCATGGGAGGGTTCAGATCGGAATGCAGATGTGATATTTTGGAAAAATGACAGGGAAGGAAGGAGAATCAGGCAGGAAGCTCATCAGACCAAATGCGGGCCTGAGACGCCCGAAGCCAGGTAAATGGGAAGCCCCTAGATCACCTCATAGCAGAACCCTAAGATAGCCAGAGACAGCTAGTTCCAGACAGGTGTGCAGGTGTAGCAGCTGCTGGCAGGTGTACCAGCCTTCCAGCAGTTATCTCCTCCTCCTCCTTCTTTTAAATTGTTTTGTTTTTAGAAGATGATTGGGGAAGCCGATCTCCAGAAAGAAGGAGAGACCTCTCATCCACTAGTTCATTCCCCGAATGGCTGCAACAGCTGGAGCTGAGTTGATGCAAAGCCTGCAACATCTCTAGGTCTCCCATGTGGGTGCAAAGTGTCAAGGCTTTGGGCCATCCTCTACTGTTTTCCCAGACCACAAGCAGGGAGCTGGATGGGAAGTGGAGCTGCCGAGACATGAATCGGATCCTGGTGCTTATAAGGAGAGGATTTAGCCACTGAGCCATAGTGTGGGGCCCTCAACATTTTTTTTGGTTGCATTTGTACTAGATTGCAGCAAAATCTGTAATTGTCACTCTTAACTAAAAATAGGTTATGAATGGAAATTATGTATTTTAAGATTTCATATTCTTGTTAGTAAATTATCTGTGTGCTATTAACTAATTGCCCAAAATATATAAATAAATAAAGCAAGTGAACAAGAAAGCAAGCCAGATCAGAGGAATCTTCTGTCAAGGTTGTATCACAAAGTTCCTAGAATTGCTTTGATGGACTCAAAAAACAGTTCTCTTTGTTGCCATGTGGCTCATTTCTCATCTTTTTTATTCTTACACATGTCACATTAATATCCCCTGATTGATACCCGGCAGAAGTGCTACCTCAGTATTACCTGTGCTCATCAGTCTAAAATGATCACAGTTATTCCCAAGGCCAAGGGGCTTCTCAAGATATGAATCATTGAGATATCAGTGCAAGACTTCCTTTCATGGAGTAAATGAAGACTGCAACCTTGCTGTGTTCTTGTGGAAATGGAAGAGATTCTTTGTCTTGTTTGCCAGACTCCACAATGTCTGGTACAGTCTTGTGTCCCCCTGTCTCCACGAAATCTTTGTGATAACAGCTTTTCAATTTTTATACACAGCTCTGGTTTTGGAGAAAGCCTGGCTTAAGTCCATATTGCAGGCCATGAAACCACTATTTGAAACAGACCTCATGGTGATCTGCTTTCCAACACATTAGCCTGAAAATAGAGATGGAGGAGCAAATTAGGAAATTTGATGGTACTTCAGGTCCAGAGTAATAAAGGCCTGCGGCAATGTGGTAGTAATGCAGATGCAAAGGAGGAGGCTGATATAAAGCAGTGTACTGGAAATTCTAGTGCTCATTTGGTAATAAAGATGAAGGAATCACTTTTGGGTCTGCTGGGAAGGAAACTGAGCAGTACTTGAGTAGAGATGGTGTTGTGCCAGATTTTGAGATCCGCAGAAAATCATCGAATCTGAAGTCGGTGCTAACGCTTAAAGGGCAGTTTATTCAGGTTAACCTAGGTCTCCCAGCCACCCCCCACCCCAAGCCCAGCAGGGCTGGGCGGGGGGAGGGGCTGCTGCAGCCTTTTGCAGCAGGAACAGCAAGGCACAAAAAGAGAGCAAGGTTCAACAGCACAGGGTGCTTATACATTTCAGGATAATTCCATATAATTACACAGTCATGATTGGTCAGTTTTAACTGTTAACTTTCAAAAGGAGCAGGTTGGCAGGCTTCTATTGGTGGGTTTGAAGCAAGCAACTTCCAAAAGATACAAACTGATGAGCTATAGGGCGGTGGATCTTATCCAACACCAGGGACCTCCTTCCTGAGGAGTGGTCTGCCTACGTGACTTGCCAGGTTTTCTGTTGGGTGTCACGTAGACTGTCAGGCCTGGAGTTCACACAGCCCCGACCCAAGCAATTAAGGCAGAAATCACAAAAGCAGAAAACATCTAGGTTGTTCAATGGTATTTGAGTATTTGGGACAGGTGTTGAGGACAAAGGTGAAATGTAAAGATTATGCTTTGGGATTTATCACCTTGTATGGTAATTAAAAGCAGGAAAGATGTTTAAGAGCCAAAGTTGAGGAGAATGGTGGATTGAACCAAAAGAGATGCCAATGAAAAGAATGAAACAGAGTTAGAGAGGATGGAGGAAAACCAGAAGAGTGATGGCATGAACTTTAAACAGGGTTTTGAGACTAGAGTTGGCAGTCCTGTCAAACACAGCCAAGTTCAAGTTAAAAATGGCCAAGTCGGGTGAGCATTTGGTGAAGCAGTTAAGATGTCACAAGAGGCACATCCTAGTTCAAGGCACAGCTCTGTTAGTGGTTTTGGCATCCTGCCAGTGCATATCCTCAGAGTCAGATGATGGCTCAAGTACTGCGTCGCTGTTACATGGATGGGAGATCTGAATTGAGTTCTGGGCTCCTGACTTTGGCCTGATCTAACCCTGGTGTTCTAAGTCTTTTAGGGAGACAATCATTGAATGGGAAGATTTCTCTCTGTTTCCATTTCTCTGCTTTTCAAATAAACAAAAACAATTTAATCATCTATTTATTCAATTGAGAGGCAGGGAGCTGGTTCAGAGGCAGAGATGCCAGGATTAAAACCGTTGATCTGATAGTGAATGCTGGCATTGCAGATGGAAGCTTAAACTCACTGTACAAAAATATCCAGTCCTGCAAATTAAAGAATATTATTTTTCAATTTTGGTTATAAAAGTCATGATGAGCCTGTTAAACAAATCTTGTCAATGAGGTAGTGGTTATTTTCATAACATCAAATTTCTTTTATTATAAAAATAATTAGCCAACTAAATAACTTGGAAGAGTTCAGCGAAATGCAATGTTGTTTTTGGAAATTTCTCTGTTAACTGGTAATAGAGATGATGTGAAAAAAAAAAGCCATACATTTTATTTCTCATCAAAGGTTAGTTTTATTCTCCAAGAAATGTTTCATCAACACCAAACATGTTGACATGGGTTCATTATCCTTACTCCCTTTCTTTTCCTTTAAATTTTTTAGCAGAACTGTTACTACAGTTGGAAAGTTTATGTCTTTGTTGATAGTATTCTCAATCAAGTTACACATTTTTCTGTGTTTTATTCGTAACATGTATTTCTTACTGTGGAACATTCTGTTTGATTACAATCCACTAGAGTAGAAATTCTTCGATTATAATCTATTAAACTGGAAATTCCTTGGAATTTAAGTTTTGTCATCTATAGAACCAGGTTAGTAATACCTGCCTTATGGGTATTTGTGATGATGAAATAATTCAAGAAAAGCACAGTGCACGTTTTTAGTTTATAATGATTTTTCTATATAAAAGAGTCTCTTATTGATCAATTAAATTCTTTTCTGTTTAAGGGCAAGACTTGAGCAAATTGTATTTAAATATCTACATAACTGCCAACTCCATGGTTCTGCCAGTGCGTAAACAAGTCCTATGCCAAGGATCTAGTGACGTATATTCTTTTTGCAGAGCTATGAAGGGAGGTAAGCAGTTATTTCATACTAATATTAGAAAAGAAACAAATTATTTGTAAGAAAACTGTGTAAATTAAATGTAGTAAATGTGAAGATTGTTTCCTAACAGCGATTTTTTCATTTCTACTCAAAGCATTGCTTTTAACATTTTTAAAAAAGATTTGTTTTTGATGGAAAGTTAGCTAAAAAGGGAGAAACAGAGAGAGGAAAATCTTCTGTTTGCTGATTGACTCCCCACATGGCTGCAATGGCCCGTGCTGAGCCAATCCGAAGCCAGGAGCTTGGAGACTGCTCTGGGTCTCCCACTTGGATGCAGGGTCCCAAGGTTTTGGGCCTTCCTCAACTGCTTTCCCAGGTTACAAGCAGGGAGCTGGACGGGAAGTAGGGATGCCTGGATTAACCAATGCCCATATGGGATCTTGGTGTGTCCAAGGCAAGATCTTTGGCTGTCAGGCCACAGTGCCAGGCCCACAGCCATAATTTTTTTTTTTTTTAAATTTCTTTATTTTTGACAATCTTTACATGGTTAATTAGGGCACAAAGGTTCAAAGGCGATAGGAAAGTGGGTAAGACTATTATTTCCACATTCTATTTTTTTTTTTTCTGTATCTGGAGTAAAGGGGGAGATAAAGGAAGAAGCCCCACCCAGTCTCCCATCCATCCCAGATCTCTGATGTGGGGCATGCTCCAAGGGTCCTGCTCAAGTGGCTTTGATAATTCAACAGTTCTGAACTACTGCCAATCTCTCCTCTCCAAGCATGATGAAATCTCTCCAGAATCTACTGGCTGACATAGCCCACCTTAGAGTCTCTGTTTGCCCAGATTTTCACTGCCAACACATGGCTAGGGTAGTTGATTGATTTGTTCTGTCCTCTGTTGTGGTACCAGGTATCCTCTGCAGGCTCCAATTGACTGCCATATTCTCCATGTGCACCTAGATATGCTGTCCACTACTTCATCTGAGGAGGCTCAGCTTTAGCATAAGAACTCTATGGTTAGACCATGGAACCTGCACTTCTCTTAATGGTTGGGATTCTGAGTCCGGCAGTTCGATTGGGGAGATACCCAAAGAAACTTTGTCTGAGGTGATCCCAGACCAGATTCTTGTGTGTACTTGCTAGTACAGAACACAGTCCTTTGCCCCTAATCAGCTGGGGGTTGCAATTGCTGGGTTGGTTCTGTTTCTAGTCCTAACTTCCACACCAATGGGTGTTGCAATCCAGCCTGATTCTGCTCAGTACACACTTGGCCCTCACAAAAACCAGTGGGAGCTGCAGCCTAGTCTGGGCAACCCACAATAACCCCCACCATAGGAACCCCCTGCCCTGGTTCCTATGCTTGCCTCTATGTACTGCAGTCTTGTCTGGTTTGTCCCACATCCCATTCAGATCTTCTACATGTCAAAGGGCATTGAAGCCTGGTTCAACGCAACCGGGACCACTCTCCAGCCCAGGCACATGCTGGTGGGCGCCGTTCTGTCCAGCCAGGTTTGCTCCTGTCCTGGTTTTCATGCTCTCCAATGGGAGTGGTAACCCAAGAGGGAGGTGCCTACTATTTCCTTCCTGGGCCCACTCCCAGATCATGCACTGTCCAGGTGGTTCTACTATTTAACTTGAGAGAATTAACCCCCAGTGCCAGATTCTGCTGTCTGATGCTGAGCAAAGTCCAACCAACCCTCACCCACTCTGATTTATGCTTGCACCAATAGGGACCATCAGCCAAGTCTGGCTCTTTCTTGATCTGGCTCACATGAGACCCACAGGTGTTGTAGTCCTGCCTGGTCTGGTCTGCCCCCACCCTGACTCACGCTCTCCAGTCGACGATGTGTTCCAGCAGGGGGTACCTCTACATTCTCCCTACCGGATTTACCCCCTCCCTCCCTGGTTTCTACGTGTGCTGGTTGGGCACTGCAGTCCAGTCTGGCATGGCCTGTCTCGTCTCAGCATTTGCCAATGGGTGCTATAGCTTGGCCCAGCCCAGTGCACCCCCAATTCCAGCTGGTGAGGGTTACAGTCTAGCCCAACCCAGCATGCACCAATCCCAGCTGTAATGTGCACTGGTATGTGTTGCCACCACTCCTGGCCTGACCATCACTGTTCTGGTGCTCTGATTCACCAGTGGGTGATGTGAATTTGTTCAGCCTGATCCTCCCCCAACCTGTGCCAGATGTATGCCAGTGGGTACCTTTCCTTGGACTGGTCTGGGATGCTCCTTATTGTGTTCCTTGCTCTCACCTGCAGGGACTCTGTCCTGCCAGAGGAGTGAGCAACAGAAACTTAACAGAGGAGTATCCTTACTGCCCTGGAGGAGAGAAATGGAAATCAGGGTATACCAGGGTCATCCCCCTTCTGAAGACATGGAAGAATAGTCTGTTGCATGTCTTTCTTTCTTACCTCCTGGGGGCCCTGGATATTTCTGGCATTGTAGATGTCCTTCTTCTTACATCTCTTCACATTGTCTTCCTTCTACTATGTGTGTCTCAAAGTTTCAAATTTCTCCTTTTTGTAAAGACATCATTGTATCAGACTAGGACTGCTGTAATCTCTTCTTTTAAAAGATTTTAAAAAATTTTTGTGAAGGGTAGAGAGAGAGAGTTACTCCCCAGCTAGCCACAATGGCCAGGCTAACATCTATGTGTGTAAATAGTGGCTAAACACTTAGGCTTCTCAGGGTGATTGTAAGGACATTCAGTATGTTGGCTGCCCCTGATATATCTCCTCTACTTTAACATTTTTTTCTCTATTAAACCCATGAAATGTGTAGTATTATCTCTGAATATTTAGTTTTAAATGCACACATCCTTGTTTAACTTGGGATGAGGCATATTTTTGTTTGCTATTGAGAGCAGTGGGTTTTAAAATTTTAACATTTTTGGGGGATGAGATTTAGGCAGGTATGGAAGGCTTTGGGACATGGAAAAAGCCATAGAAGAATAGTATCCGGGGATACAATTCATCATTTCTCTGTAATTTTGCTTGATAATACCTCTGATGATACTATGTGTCGTCTCTAAGTTACTTTAAAAATCACTTAATGATGATCAGTGACATTTTGTATTTTGTTTGCAGAGACTTTGAATACAACAGTACCATTTTCCTTCAAGGGAATACGATTTCTTAAGGTATTGTTCAACACTTATTTTATACTCTCCTAACCTTTCACAGTAACAGATGTGTTAAGAATGTGAAAAAAAGAAACACCACTTCACAACTTTTAAAATAGTATTTCAAGATCAAGATGTTTTGGGATTTTTTTCACTGTTACTGGTATTAGGTTTTTTGGTATTTATTTTTCATATAGAATATGGAAAAATTACACAAAAATAGCTCTTTTTCATCTTTATTATCTTTTAACATACTTAGTCAAAAGCAATACAAGTGTGGATTAATTATTCCGTTGAATGGTCTTCCCATGAAAGACCAGGCAACCAGTGTCTGTAAGTCAGTAACCCTATGTAGTTGCTACATATTAGATATATAAAATGCTATAAAATTTCTTAGAACAAAAATCACATAAATTATAGACTTATTTTTGTTAAGTGTTTTTCTTGGGAATTTAAGCTGGACATTTTCATCTTCATAAAATAAATATTGCCTCAATAAATAATATTGCTATAATTCTAAGTATTTCTGTTGTGTACCTCGCAATGAAAATTTACACATGTCATTTTTGATAGCTGTTTCAAAATAAATTTTAATTGGGCCCAGCGCGATGGCGCAGTGATTGAGGTCCTCACCTTGCACGCCCGGGATCCCATATGGGCGCCGGTTCTAATCCCGGCGGCCCCACTTCCCTTCCAGCTCCCTGCCTGTGGCCCAGGAAAGCAGTCGAGGACGGCCCAAGGATTTGGGACCCTGCACCTGCATGGGAGACCTGGAAGAGGCTCCTGGCTTCGGATTGGCTCAGCTCCAGCCGTTGTGGCTGCCTGGGGAGTGAACCATCTTCCTCTCTGTCTCTCCTCTCTGTATATCTGCCTTTCCAATAAAAATAAAATAAATCTTAAAAAATTTTTAATTGTACGTACTACTTTGTTGTTACAAATGATATCTAATATTTAACCACCTCATAAGCTATATTTTTTTTCAAAAAAGATGTACTTATTTTTATTGGAAAGGCAGATCTATAGAGAGAAGGAGAGACAGGAAAAATTTCTGTCTGCTAATTGACTCCCCAAGTGGTCACAGTGGCTGGAGCTGAGCCAATTCAAAGTGAGGAGCCAGGAGCTTCCTCTGGGTCTCCCACATGGGTGCAAGGTCCCAAGGCTTTGGGCTCTCCTCGACTGCTTTCACAGGCCACAAGCAGGGGGATTGATGGGAAATGAAGCAGCCGGAGTTGGAACTGGTGTCCATATGGGATCCTGGCACATGCAAGACAAGGATTTAGCCACTGAGCACTGAGCCATTGCTCTGGGCCTGTAAATTGTTTCTAAAGGATTTATTTTATTTGAAAGGCAGAGTCAAAACGAGAGAGAGAAAGAGAGATCTTTCATCCACTGCTTTACTCGTTAAATGGACACCATTATTTGGCCTGGGCTGGCTGGGCCAAAACCAGGAACTAGGAGCTTCACCTAGATTTCGCCTTTGTGTGCAGGGTCCCAAGTACTGGTTCCATCTTCTTCTACTTTCCCAGGCACATTAGCTGATCAGAAGTATTAGATCAGAAGTGCAGCATCTGGGAGTTTAATTGTTGCCCATATGGAATACCCATGCTGCAGGCAGTAGCCTAACCCGTTATGCCACAATGCTGGCCCCACAAGCTAAGTTTAAAAAAAAGTATATAAAAATCATTATCCTATAATCAGAAAATAAATGTCTCTATGCTTACTGAGTTTAAAGGTATGCACAATTTTGTCTTATTGGAAAATTAAGAAATTGATGCTCATTTAAAATGAATTTCTGATAGTATTCTTACAGAGGCTAAATATTACTATCTAATATTTTGTATTGCTTTAATTTCCTTTTCCTTGTTTCAGGGACAATACAGATGTGTTATAGAAGGCATAGCTGGGAGTGCTGAAGAAATGATCTTTTGTTTGAATTTTACCATCATACACCGTCCACATATCAACTAGAATAAATGGGTCATACTTTTGCTTTTCAAAGGTGGCAATGTCTTAAAAGTTCCTGCGATTCACTTTTTTTCAGGTGAGGTTGTATATGAAGGCATAGGAAGGTCTGCACGAAGTAATTTAGTGGTGCGTCCCACGACCCACTCAGGGAAGTACCAGGGTCAGATGGTAGAGGAAAGGGGGGAGATAGATATGGGCCAGACCCTCTACTCTGTTTTCCATGGGAATAAACAGGCAAGGCAGGGGTAGCACCTGGGGTGGAGGAACTGTCCCTAGATGGAGAGTGGCTCAGCATGTGGAAGCCCCAGAGAGGAGGTGGCAGGGGATGTGGGCTCTGCGTTGGTGGGTCTGACTGTAAAGGGTGTGCTCCCTTTACAGTCAACCAACACTGGTAGGGTCAGTCCCTTCAGGGTCAGTTGGAATCTGCATGTTAGAGCATCAGAATACAAAAAAGAAAAACTGTGGCTAACACAGTTCTTCATTTGGTGATTTTCTTTGCAGAAATAGCTATATTAGACCATTTTTCATTGATATATGTAAGAACATGACTTGAGGCTAGGTATGTGGTCAAGAAAAAAGGTTTATTTAGCTTACAGCTTTGGAAGCTGAGTCCAAGGTCAGACAGCCCTATCTACGGGGCCTCTGGAAAGGACTCCTCCCTCTGGCTGTGACAATGTTGTCTTGGGGACAAGGAGAGATAATATGGCGGGACAGGGAGCCAGAAGAAGGGACAGAGCCTGACTTGCTCTTTTATAACAACCCACCTCTCCTAGGAACTAATTGGGATTCCAAGAAAACTCTACTAACACCATCCGAGGACGGTTCCCTTTTAGGAACCTAATCATCTTGCAGGAGGTCTCTTCTCTTAGAACCTACACCGCCTCCTAACATAGCACCCTGTGGCCCCAAGCTCCTAGCGTGTGAACCTGTGGGAGACACACTGTGACCACGGTCGAGCCACAACTGCAGTGCAGTCTCTTAGTCCCTGTTGTGGTCAGCTTCCCTGGGCTGTTCTGCTATTTTCTGACCTGTCTTCTCGTACCTGTTGGAATGCACCTTCACAAAGGCAGTCTCAGCAATAAAGCATTTTCAAAGTACTGGTCTGGTCATGTCATGGTGACATAAATGAAACAGAACAAAATAAAGCAAAAAAGAAACAAAGAAACCCCTTCCAGTCGCTTCCAAGCCTTCTTGTGATAAGTTGGTATCTTCAGAAGTGCTGGTTAACATGCCCTTTCCCTTCGCTTGTTCTCCAGATTCTAGAACATGCAATCCCCGCTCGGACTGCAGACCTACTGCCTGTGGTCCCCTTTGCCTCTGCTCCACTCCTCTGTTCTCCCCCACCTTCTACCTCCGTACTGGGTTTTGATATAGCAATTTTTAAAAAATTCATGTATTTTTAAACAATATTTATCTGTTTAAAAGATGGGGGGAGAGAGAGAGAGAGAAAGAGAAAAAGAGAGAGAGAGATCTTCCATTTGCTGGCTCACTACCCAAATGCCCAGTGGGACTTGAACTTGTACTCCAATACAGAATGTCAGCATTGCTAGTGGTGGCTTATGGTGTGTGTTAGGGCTGGGCTGGGCTGGGCTGCAGCACATGAGGTTTGCATACAACGTGGAGCTAGACACAGAACTGACCAGGCAGCTACAATCACCGGTGTGAGTAGTCTTATGTAGAAGACAGACTGAACTGCACCCTGTTCTGGCTGGCACATGCAAGAATCAGGTCTGGGGGTATCCCAGGTGGAATTTCTTAGGGGACTTCCAAACTAGACCACTGAACAAAACTGTGGCCAGAGGGAGGGTCATAGGATTTGTGGTCTGACCTTGGAATGTTTGTGTTGGGACTGGGCTTCCTTAGTTGTTGATGATACCTGCCTAGGTACATTTGGGGGACAAGAAGGCCAGCTCATTTGGGCCTGCAAAAGGCAGTGAGTGCCATGTCAGAAGATGGAGAACAGAATGGGTTGACAATTCTGGATGAGATTTGGGCAGTTAAGTGTCTGGATCGATGGATGTACTGGGGTTGGCTCTGTCAGCTAATGGACCTTCGAAGGATTTTCTCAACCCCGAGGCAGTGAAGCCAATGGAGCCTCAGAACTATCAAAACTACTCAAGTAATACTTCTGGAACATTTTTCTTCATATTCGGGTTTCTAAGATGACATCTGTAGAAGGACATTGTGATTTATAGGACAGCGAACATAGGTTGACAATTGATAGGATATCATTTGTAGGAGAACAACTGATTGGATATCATTTGAATGAGGACACCTGACTGGATATACAAAACAAAAACATAGTTTCAAACAAGGATGTACAAACAATTGATGGGTTCTGCAGGAAGGTTTATGGGAACTACGTAAGCTCCTCAATACCTCCTCCCTTATCCTATGTGAGCCTCAGTCTATAAAAGCCTGATGCCACTAACAAGTTTTGGATATCTCACCAAGGTGGTAGTCCACACACATGATTTCAGGCTCCGTGCACCAAGTCCATCACAGCAGGACAGATAATCACATCTAGTGGACATCCCCCATCCCTGAGTGCTGATGTAGTTTGGCAGATGGGAGTGACCACTCCTCTCCCTCCCTTTCACCCTATATATAGGAGAAAAAGGAAGAAAAGGAAAATTAAAACATTGTCTCACCTACTTTGCCCCATGCCTCGAACATCCTCACCCTAGTCAGCAGTCCTCATAGGTGTGCATCCTTGTTAACTATGTATACAACATCAAAAATTAAAAATTAAGGGCCCAGCATGGTGGCCTAGCTGCTAAAGTCCTTACCTTGAACGTGCTAGGATCCTGGCGGCCCCACTTCCCATCCAGCTCCCTGCTTGTGGCCTGGGAAAGCAGTCGAGGATAGTCCAAAGCCTCCCACCCACATGGGAGACCCAGAAGAAGCTCTGGGCTCCTGGCTTTGGATCAACACAGCACTGAACATTGCGGTCATTTGGTGAGTGAATGATCAGACAGAAGATCTTCCTCTCTGTCTCTCCTCCTCTTTGTATATCTGACTTTGCAATGAAAATAAATAAATCTTTAAAAAAGTTAAAAATTAAAAGCAAATGAAAGCAAGTGGTGGCTTAATGTGCTGCACCACATCCACCCCAGGTATTGATCTTTTTCGACTCTAGACTTCCCACTCAGGGAAGTCTAAACCGAGGGGTGCATTCTCTCTTGCATTTTTGATATGAGCAGTGGCATTCCTGAGAGAACTCAGTGGAGCCACTCCACAGAGAGCCTGAGCATCCCTCTCCTGGGCCTGTCTTGGTCCTACAGACCCTCATGGGGTTTGACCTCATCCAGGCAGGCCTAGTGTTCCTTAGGACATGTGCCTTCTTGGCAGCACACACACACTTCCAGATGAGGCTCAGGGTGATCAGTGCTGCTCACCACATAGGCCTGAGTTTGTTTGGAATATAAATTTGTTGAATGAATCAATGAACATTTTTCTTCTTGTAAAGGAGCCAAACAATATATAACCATGGAGAGCAAAAATATGTGTGCCATCTTTTGATTGACTGGCATTCTGCTATATGTCAAACCCCTGTTCTAGATGCCAAGACACAGGATTTAAAAACCTAGACCCAAAACCAGGCACTAACAACTCCAGGAGGCTGCTGGAAGTTTAAATTGCCAGGCCCAAGGTCGCGCCCCTCCCAAATCCCATTCACCGCCCAATGAAGGCGGCGGGTGGGTCCCGGACCTGCCTACTCATGGAGACCTCCCCCCTCAGTGTAGTCACCCTGAAGGGAGTAGTCCCGGAGCCCAGGCAGACCCGGGATTAGGCCCAGTTGGGGAGCTAAGGGGACTCCCTTGCTGGGTTGAGGTTCCCACCAAGGGGCATGTGACCTGGAATGGGGGCTGCATTCTGATCTGGAAATGGTTGTAGTCTCCCTTGGCACAAGTGTGGACTGGGATTGGATGCACCAAACCGGGCCAGACCCCAACACCATCTGGTGTCCTGGAGGACCAGGGCAGATGTGGGATGGACTAGGCAAGGTCTCAAACCCCTACTGAGCCATGTGTGAGCCATATGTGGATAGGGACAAACCATGGCTGGGCTGAAACATCCAACAGCAAGAACCAGATTGGGTTGAAGGCCAGTCAGGAAAAGCTACTGTTCCTGCTAGGACTGGAGGTGGACCGAGTAGGGCTCATGGACCCACTGGTAAGCGTGAAATCTGGCATTGGGAGAGGTTCTGATGGAAGAGCCTGGGAAACTCCTCTGGCAGGACACAGACCCGGCAGGTAAGCACAAGAAACATGATAGCAAACAGCCCAGAACAGGCCATTGAAAGTTACCCACTGTCATAAAATTGGCATGGGTCGGGGGAAGACCAGGCTGAATCTGTCCACGTCATCCACTGGCAAATCCAAGCACCAATGTGGGTCGAGCCAGGTTTGGTCACAACAAAAACCAGTGCACATTACAGAATGCCAAGGTGAGGTTGCCTGTACTGGAAGGGACCGCAGCGCCCAATCAGCCTGAGAACAAGGAAGGGAGGGGGCAGAGCCGGCAGGGGAATAAGGGAGGGTTCCTTTGCTGGACAGCTACTTCTGCAGGAGAGCATGAGCTGGGATGGGGGCAGACCAGACTAGGCAGGGCTACAATACCTGTGGGCCTCATGTGGACTAGATCAGGAAAAGCCGGGCTGGGCTAATTATTCCTACTGGTGCAAACAAAATTAGAGTGGGTGAGGGTTGTTTGGGCTTAGCCACAGCATGAGCTGACAGACGCTGGCACTGGGGGCTAGTTTTGTCAAGTTAAACCACATAATTATCTGGAGAGAGCATAATCTGGGAGTGGGAGAGGCCTGGGTGGGAAGTAGTGGGCTCATCCCTCTTGGGTTACCACTTCTATGGGAGGACATAAAACTAAGACAGCAGCTGGGGTGGAATGGGATGTGGGACAGACTGGATTACTGCTACACATACTGGCAAACCAGGGTAGGGGGCGGGACTGGTTGGGGTTATTGCGGGTTGCTCCAACTAGGCTGCAGCCCCCACCAGTTTATGTGAGGGCCAAGTATTTGCTGGGCAGAACCAGGCTGGACTGCAACACCCATTGGTTCCAGTGGAAGTTGGGAGTGAAGGCAGAACCAACCGAGCAATTGCAACCACCAGCTGATCAGGGCGATGGACTGTGCCGGGCCTTGTACTTGCTAGTACATGCAAGAATCTGGTTTGAGAACACCTCAGACAAAGTTTCTTTGGAGATCTTCCTAATCTAAATGCTGGAGTCAGAAACCTAACCAAAAAAAGAGAGAATACAGAACAGGTCAACCAACCATCCCAGCTATGATGGACTATGTCAATCAGTGGATTTTTCAAAGACCTCATAGTGCTTGGAGTGGCAAGATTGGCAGCGATTCATCTGTTGAAATATCAAAACCACTTGAGCAAGAACCTCAGAGCATGCCCTAATTCCGGGACCTGGGGAGGGTGGGAAACTGGATGGGCCTTCTCCCTTAATACCCTCCTTTAAACATGAAGGAAACAATATGGAAAAAAATACTAGTCTTACCCACTTTCCTGTAGCCCTTGAACCTTTTTAGTTAATTGGGGAATTAACTATGTAAAGATTGTCAAAAAAAAAAAAAAAAAGAAATAAAAATTAAAAAAAAAAGAAAAGAAAAGAAAAAAAGAGCCCAACGCGATAACCTAGTGGCTAAAGTCCTCGCCTTGAATGTGCTGGGATCCCATATAGGCGCCGGCATCTAATCCTGGCATCTCCACTTCCCATCCAGCTCCCTGCTTGTGGCCTGGGAAAGCTGTCAAGGATGGTCTAAAGCCTTGGGACCCTGCACATATGTGGGAGACCTGGAGGAAGTTCATGGTTCTTGGCTTTGGGGCCGGCGCAGCACTGGCTGCTGCAGTCACTTGGGGAGTGAATCATTGGAGGGAAGATCTTCTTCCCTGTCTCTCCTCCTCTCTGTATAAAAATAAATAAATCTTAAGAAAAAAAAAAAGAAAAGGAATTTTGGGGGCTGAACTTTTCCTGGTACTGCAACTATTTTATGATCTCATATTTCTCCCACCACGACTGCTCCCCTTACTTCTTCAAATAATTGGTTTCACTTTCAGTGAAA